CAAGCTAACAAGCTAACTCCTATGACTAATCTATTAGCTAAGTATTGACCTCACTAAACAAGCATCGTTTCATCAACAAGTATTAATTCTTACCAAATCAAGTCTCTTTTTGATTTATTAATGATTTAATATACTCGAAACTAGGGCACATTAACTACTCTAGTAAACTAATTATTATTGGGCTACAAAAATTACAGTGAGCAGCTAATAATATTAGTAATTTACTGTAAAAATTTCAAAGTAAACACTATCACCAATTTATCGCGAAAATTTCTCAAAGTTCAAATTTTAACAATACTAAATATTTTAAAATAATTAGAGCAACCCTAGAAACATTTTAAAACTAGACGAACCAATTACGCTAATAGATAGATAATAATTTTAGGAGCCTAACAAAATTTGTTTGACATTTTTGTGATTTTTCTATGATTTATTTTCAATTTTTGAAGAGCACTAAATTAGCAAAACAAAGAAAACAACACAAAATGAAAAAGCTGACTGGCTGGCTGGCTCGACCACAGTGCCTTGAAGGCCTCTTGGCGAATCGATTGCCCGGCGGGGTAATGTAATGGCGCTGGCGGCCCAAAGTGGCGCCCAACAGCCAACCCACGCGAGACGTAATAACGAGCGCGGGCGGCCTAGTGCGAGCGGCCGGCCCACGATGGGAAGCCCAGCGGTGGCGGCACCAATTTGCCCCGAGGCCCCTGTACTTTTACTGAATCCAACCGCAGGACATTACACACCTTCAACACTATTTACATGAGTCACGTATTTGCATAGGGAACCCTGAACAAAATTTCTACTTTATTTCTCACCCTTCTCCCTCCTTCGGTGAAGCAGAGGTGCAGAGTTCGGCCGGCTTCTGCCGACTCGGCACGGAGGGTGACTGGCGACGACGGAGGCGTGCGCAGGAGCAGCGAGGGAGACTACCGCTCCCGTGGGCATTGGTGGCATGGCCAGGGGCAGCCCGAGGCGGTCCAGCCGTGAGCGCTGGCGGCCGGCTGGGGCGCAACAGCGGCAGCGGACGACGGCGGGAACGCGGCGGGGCACAGCAGCTGGTGTGGGCAGGCTCCTCGGCACCGGGCGGACATGGCGCACCCCCCGGCTAGGCCTCGCTCATGCCGGGGCAGGGCGCAGTGGCCTGGCCGTATGCGTGTAGCGCGGTGATGGCCCGAGTTGGAGCTGCGGTGGCTCCCGGCGATGTGGCTACGGTGAGCGCGCGCGGAGGTGGTGAGGTAGGTGGTCGTGGCCGACAGCAGCGGGACGCGTCAGCACGGGCGGTCAGAGTGGAGGGCGGAGCAGGCGCTAGAGGCGGAGCCCCGCGGCGGGCATCAGCAGCAGGGTGACCCTGTGCGGACGACGGCGGGGTCGGTGGTTGAGGCTCTTGGGAGGAGCAGCGCTGTGGGCTATGGTCCAGCACGATAGTGGGGGCTCGTGCGAGCTCGTGCGCACACGCGAAGGGCCGGCGACGGCGGGTGCAGCCACGATGGGTGCTCGGCTCGGTAGAGGCAGGCAGAGACAAGCAGAGGCAGACAGAGACAAGCGGAGGCAGGCAAGTAGAGGCAGATAGAGGCAGCAGTAGCTCGGGTAGGTGGAGCGAACGGTCGAGAGCGAGCGGGCGAGGTAGTTGAGGTGAGCGACCGAGATCGCTCGCTACAGGTCCCGATTCACGAGCAGAGCGCCAACGACACAGTTCACAGCGCGATCTAATGAGGTTAGGGGCAATTTTTGGAGCAACAACACAACATCAAACCACCCCACGAACTATACCATGCCATGGTACCCGCAAAGGCGCAATTAATAGTGCCAAAACATGATGCTAGTACTTAAGAATTTTAATTAGAATTTAAATTCCAATATAGCATCGTCACACTATTTTCAAACTTAGAAATTGACCTTGAGTTGAATTTAGTTGAATTTTTAAACGGTTTAAACTTCACCAAACTTCACCAACAACCATTTCACGACATAGCACATACTTTATTCCAAACAATAGAACCAAAACATCAGGACATTATTTAACTATTTTGCATTTTAAAAATCGCCAAAAAAGTGTACCTCTAACACAACTGCAAATTTCCGTCGATTCAACGAAAATGACTAATTTTAATTTTTGATTTGATTTTTGAGCTGGCAAAAACCCTAGTCAACAACATTTGTTTTCTAAAACCGAAGTTGCGTTTTCATCTAATTGACTTGCACTTTAATTTTTATTAAAATCCCAAACACACGTTCTATATTATTATTGCTTTATAAAAATCACCTTTTTAAGTCAAACTATTAACTTATCCATATAACTAGGGATTAGGTTTTTCATTATCGCATTTGATTAAACTAACTCACTATACTCATAGATCTATTTCTCAGGCCTTAGTCTCCATGCTAAGCGAGCTCGTAACACCAGGGGTGTTACAGGAGATAGTTTGTGATATTGCAGTACATGATCTTTTACTAATAGATGATTTCTCATGTTGCGGTAAGAAAATCGAGATGTCGTATTACATGTTGTTTGTTGTTGCAGTACTAATATATGATTTGTCATTTTGATTCGGGATGTTTTCATCTATATGTTATTATGTTACCATCTTTTTATTGTAATTGTAATGGGCAATGTTTTATGTTGTAGAAGGCGATTCTATGTGTTGTAAGTACTTTTTTTTCTTTTTTCCTACTCTAATGGATTTGGGGATTAAATAATGTGCATGCAACATGATGATAATTTTTTGATGGGAGATTTTCATCTTCCTTTTTATTGAACGATACAACATGATGATAATAATGTTTCCTTTTTTATTGATGGGAGATTTTCATCTTCCTTTTTTATTGAATGATAATGTTTGATTTTGAGTTTTCCAGTATTGCGTTTAATGCGCTATTTGGAACAATTCTTTGTGAAATCAGTGCATTCTTTAATATTAAAGAATCACTTCAGGCTCAATTTCATTCTTGTATGATTCTTTGAATTCAAGAAACGGACATAGTGAAGATAGATAAAAACCAAGATGATCCTTTCCAAAACTCTTCATGTCACATCAAGATCAATTAGTCATGGCATGTTCTCTCTCTCTCTCTCTCTCTTTCTTTGGGGCAGCAAGAACATAGATTATGATACAAATAATGGAAGCAAAGTGAAGTGAGAATCTTGCAAATTTCGTCGCTAAGCCGGGAACACCATTGTGTGTACTTCTTAGATGGGTTCCACGTATATAATTGAAATGTTGCTCACTCTGTTACAAATTTCAGATCACTTTAACTTTATCCTAAATCAAATTTATTTTAACTTTGACCAATACAAGTTTATTAAAAAAAGATCCATCAATCTACAACATCAAATTAGTTTTAAAAATCTTCATGGATTATGTTTTAGGTGTATTTATTTGATCTTGTACATCTTAAAAGATTTTTCTAAAAACTTAATAAAAGTCGGGTAAATTTAGTAAACTATAATTCAGAATATGGATGGAGTATCGGCATGGCACAAGGTGAGACTCTAATATTTTTTTTTAAAAAAAAAAAGTGAAACCCATCCGGGTCTGGCCGGGCCACCCTCAAGTAGTACAAATGCGTTCCGAACTCTGGGTCCCAACGGGTCCAGCTGAGGGCCGAAGTTGGCTCGCCCAAAGGCAAAAGCACCCGCACCAAGCACGGCGTACGGGTCACCGATGGATCACACGTCTACGTCCTCTGTGATCAAAGGCAGGAAAGCTCAGGCATCCATCAGTCAGTGTGAACGAATCAGCACGCAGAGCCAATTAAGACCGGATTAAACCGTGCTTACGGCGCACAAATTCCCCGATTAGGAGCGAAAAACGTGGGTTTTACTACAATACCCGCCGCGAACAAATTCCCTCTATTATTAGTATAAGTAGTAGTGCAAACCGTGCCCGACGCAGATGGCACGCACGTTAGCTAACCCCGCGACTCTCACCGCCAGGTCACGGCGCTAAATATCTCTCTATCAATCTAATCGCCGGTTCACCACCGGTCGCGGGCCCCGCGACTCTCACCGCCAGGTCACGGCGCTAAATATCTCTCTATCTATCTAATCGCCGGTTCACCACCGGTCGCGGGCCGCCGTACCCGTACCCGTCCTCGGACATCCGCCGCTTGCCGTTGCGTGACGACACCAACCACGGGAACATGAGCAAAGCACCCGGCAGGCAGATATGAGAGATCCCTGCGGCTCCTGCCGTGAAGCTGTCCCGGGGCTGGACGGACGACACGGCCCGCCTAACGAGCCCCGTGCCCAACCTACCTGTCATACGGCCACGCGAAATGATTCGTTCCTTAGTCCCGTCACCATCGTCCGAGGACGAGCTACGCTGCGTCGCGGAGGTAGCCGAGCTGAGCTGCAGCCTGCAGGTACACTGCACGCTTGGTCCAGCAATTGCAGCTCCAGCAGGTGCTGGGGCGAATATATGCTCCCCAGGAAAAGCGCATGTCGCCGTGGTCCGTCCGTCCGTCTAGTCGTCTACTCTACTCGCGGTCCGCGTGCCTCCCCTGGTGCCTGCTTCCCCTCCGCTGCCCCGCCTTTGCAGGCTGGCGGCAACTATTGGTGCGCTCGCGTTGGCTGCCATCCATCCACCCGCGCCCGATGCCGACCGATCCAGATCTCGTGTGCGGTCCGATCCGGTCGATTCAGTCAGAAGTCCTCGAACTGGGAAAGGGGGGAGGGGACGGGCTCCCATCGATCGCGCTTTGTTCTGGCGCGTAGGGGCCTTTATTCCCGGCAATTAAACAAATGGATTACGGGCTTTGCTCCACTAGCTAAGCAAATTCGGCGTGATCCTTCCTGGCCACCCCTGCCTGCCCTCGCCCCTCGGGGTATATATATTGCCGGCCTGCCCTGCCACGCCTTCATTCCCTACGACACCAAACCAACGGCAGCTGCAGCACAGGCACGGCACAGCACACAGCACGCAGAGGAAGGAACGAGATATCAGATCAGTGTAAAAGCCAGCGAGTCTCTGGTTGCTTGAAGCATTAGCTCGGTGGTGGCCATGGCAATGGCGCAGCAAGCGAGCTTCCCCTGCTCGAATGCTACTACATGGAGAGAGCTCACCAACACGAGCTGGTGAGTGTGTGTTTGGGTTGTTGGCTGTTTGATTCTTGCAGCTCGATTCTATTTCTATCAACAAGAAAAGCGGATGTGTGTGCTCATGGATGTGTGCATTGTTGTTCAATCAGGAGGGACGACGACTACCGGCGGATGGTGATGGCGTACCTGATCGAGGCGGTGTACCTGCTGGAGCTGGAGCGGCAGGAGCGCCGGGACGCGGCGGCGGTGGCGCAGCAGTGGTGGAAGCCGTTCCACTTCCGCCTGGCGCACGAGCTGGTGGACGACCGCGACGGCTCCGTGTTCGGCGCCGTCTTCGAGCGCGACCACCACGGCGTCTCCTCCGACGCCTGCAGGCCCAGCCCGAGCGGCGCGCCCAGCGCCGTGATAGCGTTCCGGGGCACGCTGCTGCGCGCGCCCACCATCCGGCGCGACGTGGAGGACGAGCTCCGCCTGCTGGCCCGGAACAGCCTCCGGGGCTCCGCCAGGCTGGCGCGCGCCGTGCAGGCGCTCAGCGCCACCATCGACCGCTTCGGCTCCGACAACGTCTGCGTGTGCGGCCACTCCCTGGGCGCCGGCTTCGCGCGCCAGGTCATCCGGATGCTCGTCGCCTCCTCCTCGCCGCGGCAGCAGCACCCGCGCCAGCAGCAGGCGGCCGCCTTCGCCGCCGCGTCGCTCGAGTCCCACCTCTTCAACGCGCCCTACCTGTCGCTGCCCATGGGCGTCAGGAGCGTCGTCAAGACGGCGGACTGCCTGCTCAAGGCGCTCCGCTCCGGCGTCGCCACCGTCGGCAAGTGGCACGGCAAGGCGCTCCGGAACGTGGCCTACGCCAACTGCATCCTCGGCTACACCAGGCTCGAGAGCACCAGGAAGTTGTGAGGATCGGATGCCTCGAATCCTCGATGCTGACTTGAACGGTTGAACCGTCCCGCCCACAACCAAACCAAACTGTACCTATGCCTATGCGAGCCGTGTGTGTATGATCGATCACCTTCACCTTGTAGTAGAAAGTACTTAGAAATTAATTCAATTCTAGCAGGAGACGAATAAGCATCTGACCGGAGGATGCAAGGCTTTGCATGCATGCTTTGCTTTGTACAATCTTTAAATGTGAATTATATAGCAGCTATATATTGTTTGTTCTTCAAGTATATTTTGGCCCATGTTGTCTTATTTTCATTAGACCGATTGCCGAAAGCTGGAAGAAACCAAGGGAAAACTATGATGAGATCGAACACGAGCCAGTGAGAAAGATCCCCTCTGCCGGCAGTTCGACGAGATTGGCTTGAAGCATTGGGCCCAACCTTGTAGCATGAATCTGTCTCAACGTAGTACACCACCACACACTAGCGCACTCTTTGAGTGCTTTTATGTCGCGCACTCTTTGATCGCTTCTAGTCCAATCGATGGGCACGACAACAAGCTCCGGCCGGCATCGGCATGTAGGACAAAGGCGTCGGATCTCATCGCATTGATCGATCGAGCGGCACCGGCAGACGGTCGTGCCGGGGGGCATCCTACTGTCATGTTCTGTATAACTATATGTTCGTGCTGGTTTTGAGCTTTCAACAATCAGATATCATGGGAGGCACGAAGACAAATTATGGTCCCTTTCTGTCGTTCCTTTTCTTTTTATGTGTTCTTTTTTTGCCATACTTCACTCGTCTCACTTTGAAACTAGCTTGATTTTCCAATCTTCCAAAGGAAGACAGTATACTCTAAGGGACTATTTCTTTTTATCAGATGATAAATATGGACACTTGTGGATCAGGGCACGTTTTATTTCCTCACCAAACCAGGAGAGCCAAATTGGCTCCCTAAGGAAAGCCAGGGAAAAACTTGCTTCCGCAAGCATCGTGACAGCTGACGAAGGATCCAAATGACCTTCACTATTCTAACTTTTTATTACCTAGCAAGGGATCCAAACAACCCTACTTGGGCTCTTCTATTTTTAGAGTCTGCCCTATAACCTCATAAGTTAGGTCATGCATAACGTAAGCACCTAGCCTCACACAAAAGATTCACACCATGTAGGAACAGATATTTGAGACTACTATTCACATATTGGAAGGCACCGTTCATGCACTTGCTTTGTGGTCCCAAGATATTACTCCTTGCTCTTCCATGTTTCTGCTTTCCTCTCATACCCGCCACTTTCATCTTGAGGTTTCTCATGTTCTATCTCCTGAGACTACTGCTGACTGCCCTGACAACTACGGAGCACCTAATTTATGCATATGGTGTTGTTCGAGCCTAGTTGAGTTTGTAGGTTTGTAGCTTTGCTCATAATTGGTGGAACAATTTGGAAATTAACATTTGAAAGTCCGGCGAAACTCCCAAAGTTTCTTCCGGAGACACGGTCCAAAACTTAATGGCAGCACTTTCTTGGTTTGAAACTTCACCGTTATAACTACGGAGTAAGAGTTTTCATAAAAACCCCGGGTGTCCAGAACTAGTGTAGAACATTCACGAAACCCTCCGCAACGCGTCCTTGGAAATTTTGGACTGAACTGCCGTGCCGTTGGAACGGTAGACCCCGTACCTTTCCATTCATTGAGTTGCTAGAAAGACAACACGCCTCAGACGACGGGGTCACCGGCCTGGCCCCGTCGGTGAGCACTACACTGGGGTCACACTGGCTACCTCTACCTGAACAAGTGGGTGGAAACACGACGACTGCCCCCTCCTTTTGGCCACCACTGAGCTCATCAGTCTGGCCGGGTCCATGCGCTCACATGCAACGCACACACGGCGAGGCGGCCGGCGAAAGGCCGGCGAAAGCAAGCACCAGGCTCCCCGCGTAAAGACAGCCGAGGAACGTACGGAGAAGCGCGACGGAGCAACCCGCAACCGGGTGGCGCGGCGGGTGGGTGAGCAACACCGCGTGGCCGGTGCGGGCTAAGGCAAGCAACCGCCAAGGCGCGAAACGCGGCCCCCACGTTTCCGCGGCCAAAATGCGGGGCCGGGACAGCGCCGCCGCCACGATGGTTTGGCCTTTTGTTGGGCGATCCGCGATTGGGTGGACGCGTGTGCCGCTTGGTTGCCGCCTGCCCGTTTCTGGGGAAATGACAGCGAGGCGCCGAGAATAGATGGCATGGCTGGCGCAGGTGACAGACGGCTACAGGTGTGATGACACAGCACAGCCAACAGCTAGGAGCGATAAAAAAACGCAGAACAGATCGACTGCTGAAACGTAACGGCTTTGTTCTTGTTCATTGTAGAGCTAACGTTCACCTTTTTTCGGGGGTGGTGGCGTTGAACAAATAGAGGCCCTCTCTCTCCGTGTAGAGGATTCTTCTGGCCTCTGAAACTGTTTCCGTTTGCCGAGAGAGACCACGACGTCGGACGGAGCCCCCAGCCCCAGCAGCGGCCCAGCCGCGGACGACGGCAACGCTCGGGAGATGCTGCACAGGAACACCTCCCATCGCGAGGGAGCCCAAGGGGAAGCGCCGTCCTCGTCGCCTTCCGCGAGCAGGTCGTCGTCCGGGAGCAGTATGTGCTCCGCCGCAGTCTCTGAACTCATCTCCCACGGCATGTTTTGCTGCCTGCAACGCCTATTTCGGCTCATCTGATCGTGTCTGCGTGCGTTTGCATTTCCCTTCTCTGCAGGGTCTTCTGGGCCGATGACGCTTCCGTCGGCGCCGTCGGTGCGCGAGGCCCCGGACCCTCCTCCGGCGAGGCAAGGCTTCATCGTCGGATTGTAAGCCACACCCACAAAACGTAGCTGGCTACGACTATTCACCCTGTTCGTTTGGGCTGATCTGGCTTATAAGCCGGCCGTGAAAAATCTGGATTGGTGATTTGGTGTGAGAAAAAATACTATTATTCGACCGACCGATAAGTGGCGACTTATAAGTCGACACGAAAGCAATAACGACAGGCTGATTATTGGTCAATTTTCCGCTGCTGACGGATGGAAAATGTGGCAAAATTTTTGTTCTGATCGCGACACCGTTTCTTGCCATGCGATGCAGCTTCATGGCGGTATGTTGCTGCTGCCTAGCCGACGAAACGATTATGTGACGCGGGTGTACAGCTCCATCAAACATTCATTGTACATAAATAATTTGTGACAGTACAGTAGTTGTGATCTATGCTAGGAGTAGGCTGCATTTTCCCGTCGCAGCCACGCCTCCGTATATGTGCCTCGAATGAACATGTACAGTACGTTCTGGAAATGCAAACAGAGTCTCCCAACGTGCAGATGCTGGCTGATGAAGTGATTTACTAGACCATGCGATGCGTGGTAGTATAGTCGCCGCACGTTTGATCCTCGGCCAAATAAAAGACTTCAAGATATGAAAGGCTATCTAACTTATGCGTTATTATATCAGCAGGAAACATTACTAAACATGCATCTTTATATTCAATTTTATTAACAGCCATCATTAATTCATTAACTAATTATTTTATGTAAACACCTATGCTACTTTCAACCAGTGGTAAGCAATTAGAACCATTTTACCATCTTTCATATTCCAGTTCTTACTACGTGCTAGATCATAGTCAAGTCGTACCATCTCAAAAAAACGTCGATTCGCGAATCAATGTATCCCAGTTGGGTACCCCGAAACACACGTCCCACTTCTACCCTAGGCACAAACAAGACCAACCCATTCCTCTCCTGTCACGGGATCCAGGTCCCCGTCCAAACATGGACTCCAAGCCCCCACACTTGAGACTCGGTTTCAATATGGTGCTTAGACCTCCACCTTTCCCCGCCTCCAATCAGTCGGTCCGGAAAGAGTCAGAACCCACGATAAGAGCGTAACGAGCTTTCCCGCTCCCATAAGTAAGTATGTGCTTAGGATAATAAGTCTGTGACCTGACTACCATTCACAGCAACGGACGATCCTCAATCGACACATGCGGAACAAGTGCAATCCGAGCCTCGCTCGAATGCCTATCCAAGTCCAGATCAAAAGTATCATTTCGCACGGTCTTCAATTATCCTTCATATATATTCCATGTGATAGTAATATAATAACAACAATAATACATTTCCTATCTCTCGCGAGTGACAGGTAATCACTCGACTTCTACCAGATTCTATAGCATAGGAATCTACACGATCCTGACATACTAGTAGGACTCATAGGATAAGGATATATATATGCAAGTGGGTTTCATTCAACTCCTCAAAACTTAATGCACAAGCATAAAATAAAGTGCAGAATATTAGAGGTTATGCACCGGGGCTTGCCTGGGCAAGATATAACCAAGGATTTGTATTCCACTGTGGCGACACGATCACCAAGGCACCATCCTCCTGCTACTCCGATCGTCTCCACGATCTATCGTTGTTCCTATTATAACATACGTGGATGCAACGTAGCGACGTAATTAATCAACGATAACCGCAACTCTTAAAATACGATTACACCACGCAAGCTAACGAGCTAGCTCTAATGACTAACGCACTAGGCTACATATCCGCGTTGTCAAGTAAGGCTTCATTTCTGGAAAATGTTTTAGTTACCTTAGCAAACTAATTATTATAGAGCTACAAAAATTACAGTGAGCATCTAATAATGATAGAAATTCACTGTGAAAATTTTAGAGCCAACACTATTACTACTTTATCATAAAAATCCTTAGAAGTTTATATCTTAATAATATTAAATATCCCAATTTAATTAGATAGCCTCTGAAAATACTATGAAACTATGTGAACAAGATATACCAGCAGATAGATCATAATTTTAGGAACCTAACAAATTAGTTTCAAAATTTTTGGACAGATACATAAATTGATATTGAAATTACAAGTTTGCTTAGAAACTAAATTAGAAAAATGCTTTAGAAAACAAAAAGGGCCGGCGGCAAGCATTCGGCCTAGCAGCCCATTGCAACCCGCACGGAGCGTCGCCGCGTGCCAG